TGATAGGATGACCAGCATAATATTGTCCCCTGTGTATGATAGGATGGACAGCATAATATTGTCCCCTCCGTATGCTAGGATGGCCAGCATAGTACTGTTTACAACGTATGCTAGTTCACCAGCATAATACTATTCGCTGCGTATTCTGATAAGCCAGCATAATTTTGTCCCCCTGCGTATGCTAGGATGGCCAGCATAATATTGTCCCTTGAGTATGCTATGATGGCCAGCATAATATTGTTCCCTGTATGTGCTAGGATGGCCAGCATAATACTGTCCCCTGCGTATGCTAGGATGGCAAGCATAATATTGACCCCTGCATATGCTAGGAGTTCCAGCATAATATTGTCTCTTGCGTATGCTAGGATGGCAAGCATAATATTGACCCCCTGCATATGCTAGGAGTTCCAGTATAATGTTGTCTCTTGCGTATGCTAGGATGGCTAGCATAATATTGTCCTCTGCTTATGCTAGGATGGGCATCTTAATTATGTCCCCTGCATATGCTAGGATGGCCAGCATATTTATTGTCCCCTGTGTATGCTAGGGTGACCAGCATAATATTGTTCCGTGCGTATGCTAGGATGGCAAGCAAAATACTGTCCCCTGCGTATGCAAGGATGGCCAGCATAATACTGTCACCTGCGTATGCTAGGAATTCAAGCATAATATTGTCCCCCTGCGTATGCTAGGATCAGCAGCATAATATTGTCCACTACGTAAGCTAGTACGCCAGCATAGTAGTGTCACCTGCGTATACTAGTGCGCCAGCACAATACTATCCCCTGCGTATGCTGATATGCAAGCATAGTATTGTCCTGCTGCATGCGCTAGATTAGGCAGTATAATATTGTCCCCCTGAGTATGCTAGGATTGCCAGCATAATATTGTCCCCTGCGTGTGTAAGATGGCCAGCATAATATTTTCCACCTGCGTATGCTAGAATGGGAAGCATTATTATGTCTCCTGCATATGCTAAGATGGACAGCATAATATTGTCTTCCTGCGTATGCTAGGATGGCCAGCATAATATTGTCCCTTGTGTATGCTATGATGGCTATCATAATATTGTCCCCTGCGTATGCTAGGATGGCCAGCATAATATTGTCCCGCTGCATATGCTAGGATGGCCAGCTTAATAATGCCCCCTGCATAGGCTAGGATGGGCAGCATAACATTGTCCCCTGCGAATGCGATTATGCCAGCATAATATTGTCGCCCGTGTATGCTAGTACGCCAGCATATTATTGTCCCCTGCGTGTGCTAGGATGGGCAGCATAATATTGTCCCCTGCGTATACTAGGATGGCCTGCATAACATTGTCCCTTGTGTATGCTAGGATGGCCAGCGGATTTATTGTCCCCTGTGTATGCTAGGATGGCCAGCATAATATTGTCCCCGGTGTATGTAAGGATGGCCAGCATAATACTGTCTCCTGCGTATGCTAGGATTGCTAGCATAATATTGTCCACTGCGTATTCTGTGATGGCCAGCATAAAATTATCCTCTGCAAATGATAGGATCGGCAGCATTATATTGTCCCCTGCAAAAGCTGGTACGCCAGCATAATATTGTCCCCTGCGTATGCTAGGATCGACAGCATAATATTTTCTCCTGCGTATACTAGTACGCCAGCATAATACTATCAAATGCGTGTGCTGATACGCCAGCATAGTATTGTCCTCCTTGCGTATGCTAGATTGGGCAACATAATATTGTCCGCTGAGTATGCTAGGATGGCCAGCATAATATTGTCCCCGGCGTATGGTAGGATGCCCAGCATAATATTGGCCCCCTGCGTATGCTAGGGTGGCAAGCATAATACTGTCCCCCTGCATATGATAGGATGGGTAGCATAATACTCTCTGATGGGTATGCTAGTTAGCCAGCATAATTCTATTCCCTGAATGTGCTGATACGCCAGCATAATATTGTCCCCCTGCGTATGCTAGGATGTGTAGCCTTATCATGTCTCCTGAGTATGCTAGGTTAACAAGCATAATATTGTCTCCTGCGTGTGCTAGGATAGCAGTTTAATATTGTCCCCTCTGTGTATGCTAGGATGGCCAGCATAATATTGTCCCCTACAAATTTTAGGATGGACAGCATAATATTGTCCCCTGCATATGTTAGGATGACCAGCACATTTATTGTCCCCTGTGTATACTAGGATTGCCAGCGTAATATTGTCCCTTGCGTATGCTAGGATGGCCAGCATAATACTGTCTCCTGCGTATGCTAGGATAGCCAGCATAATTTTGTCCCTTGTGTATGCTTGGATGGCCAGCATAATATTGGCCCCTGCGTATGCTGGGATGACCAGCATAATATTGTCCCCTGAATATGCTAGGATGGCAGGCATAATACTGTCCCTTGCGTATGCTAGAATGGCAAGCATATTATTGACCCCCTGCGTATGCTAGGAGTGCCTGCATAATATTGTCCCTTGCGTATGCTAGGTTGGCTAGCATAATATTGTCCTCTGCGTATGCTAGAATCGCCAGCATAATATTGTTCCCTACATAAGCTAATACGCCAGCATAGTAGTGTCCCCTGCATATGCTAGGATAACCAGCATAATATTGTCTCCAGCGTATGTTAGGATGGCAAGTTAATATTGTCCCCCTGCATATCCTAGGATGGTCAGCATATTTATTGCCCCCTGTGTATGATAGGATGGCCAACATAATAGTTTCCCCTGCATATGCTAGGACGGCCAGCATAATACGCTAAGTATAGGATGGGCCGTATAATATTGTCCCCTGCGTATGTTAGGATGGGCAGCATAATATTGTCCCCTACGTATGCTAGGATGGCCAGTATATGAGCTGCCTTTAAAAATAAAAATATGTTGTCATAATGGCCATATAAATCACATACGTCAGTGTCAGTGTACACTGGTACCTCATATAAATCACATATGAGGTAGCAGTGTGGGGGCCTCATTAAACAGGTAAAAGCTGAAGAAAGGGCACAAATATACACATAGAATACTTCAAGATCTGAGAGTTATGATATATGAGACAACAACATTAAATCATTCTCACGTCACAGAAAAATAAATGATTGAGGAGAAACGGTATTATCACATAACATTTACAGGGATTTGACGGGCAGACAATGACACAGTGTTTCAAATAAGTGAGTCAGGAACGGTAAGACACAAAGGGGAACCAAGTACCACAGAGACTATAATAATTACTTTGTTAGTATCAGAATACTGAACAAATTGAATTTGTATATATAAGTCCGGTGGGTGATATAAACTTACCACAAGGCTTCATAGGAAGATATGCCAGCACTAAACAAACACTCAAGCACTTGTTCAACACGTAAATCGAAACTTGAGAGTCGGACCACAAGAGATAAAGCTCAGCAACACAATTGCAATTAAGAAAATATGCACATAGGAATGGTTGAGTAACAGCGACTTGCTTGAGACCGAGCGAGCTGAAACTAATGAATCTGGACAAAATGAGAAATTACTAGAACATGATACAGAAATATAAAATGCTCGAACATGTTAAAGAAATGGAATAAGAGGAGAAACATTACGAGAATACATGCCAGGAATCTCATTTACCAACTCAGCAAGTGGGACGTGAGGAAACATTTCTTTAGTGGCAGTAAGCAAGAGAAACCAACTACAGAGGAAAACAGTTGTCTTCTTATATGTCTTAAATATTTAAAGCAGATATTTAAAGCCTGCATCTACCAATCATGTTTGTAAAATACATGATTGGTAGATGTACATCATTTATAAGACGAATGTAGTGAAATAATGACTCAAGAATATGAAAATCTTTTCGGAAAGGTTTAAAAGAGTTAAAAAAACACATATTAGCTGAAATAAGTTATTCTTCAAGAACTGTCCCAACACTAAGCAGACTTGCCTGAAAGAGACGAAAGTCATCTATACCTTTCAAGTCAACTTGGCAGTGTCAGCCCAAACGATCTCAATGTATGGACAGGACGACGAAAACCTCCCTCGAGGTACTTGAAAATGGACAAATAACAACTTTGGGGATACACTAGTGTTTCAAAACATATTTTGGGTTCACAATAGAGGCTCGGAACTCACATGGATGTCATACAGATGACACATTATGAGGTCACAGAGTTGGCCTCGGGAGGTGTGTTACCTCACACCTCATGAGCGACAAGGTGAACACAGGTGAGTTACCTGGTCGGAAGTTACCTAGTCACTTAGGGAATTTTATTAGATAAGACAGGAAACAAATGATTTGACATTATCATTTGTTATGTCTGTATCATATTACAGATGACAAAGGACACATTATAAGGATACAGAGGTGTTTCGGGACACATTATGGAGGAAACCACAGGCGACTCACGACGCATTATGAGGACATACAGATGGATGAGGACATTATTAAATAACCAATTAACGCACTTTTTGAGCACATGAAAGAAACTCAGGGCAGGATACATGCTCACAGAAGCAACTCAAGACAAATTATGAGGCCAAGCCAATGACTCAGGACACGATGACTATGTCCTCAATGACTATGAGGACAAATTGTTGACTCAGTACACATTATATATATATATACTCAGGACACATTATAAGGAGACAGTATAATTAAAACATCAACAGTTGACTCTGGCAAATTATGAGGTCACACAGATTACTCATGACACATTATAAAGACACACAAGTGACTGAGGAAGCAACTTGTTTTTCATCAAAGCAACACAATTGAAATTCTTGTAAAGATTTGAAATATATTTATGGAAATGGAACGGGTTGCCAGAGGCAGAGAAAGTCAATTTCCTCCTCATTAAACGACCACAACGACACAATGACTTCAGCGATGGAACAGGTGTGAGTGATGTCATTTATTACAGAGGTAACTGTGATATACAGTGAGGTCCTCTCGCTGATAGAAATAGAAATACAAGATACCAAAGATTTTGTTTATTGGTTGCCTGGGTATTGTAGCTGTGTCTCCCTCAGGCTACAGTTGCCTCCAGGATACATGTCCATCATGCAGCAGCCTCCAGGATACATGTCCATCATGCAGCAGCCTCCAGGATACATGTCCATCATGCAGCAGCCTCCAGGATACATGTCCATCATGCAGCAGCCTCCAGGATACATGTCCATCATGCAGCAGCCTCCAGGATACATGTCCATCATGCAGCAGCCTCCAGGATACATGTCCATCATGCAGCAGCCTCCAGGATACATGTCCATCATGCAGCAGCCTCCAGGATACATGTCCATCATGCAGCAGCCTCCAGGATACATGTCCATCATGCAGCAGCCTCCAGGATACATGTCCATCATGCAGCAGCCTCCAGGATACATGTCCATCATGCAGCATCCTCCAGGATACGAGTCTCATGCAGCCACCTCCATATAAGATTTATATTCATGGGATAAATAAGACAAAAAATCTATGAATTTATTTTTATTTAATAAACGAAATATGCTGAAAATTATGAAAGACATTTGTACTCAGGTTTTTCTTATATTCTTGGTCAAAACTTTGATCTAAAATAGGTTAGGCAAGAAGAAGTTCTGTATAAGTATTTATTTTTATGATATCTATACAATGAACACGTGATATTGATATTGATACATAAAATTGATATATACTGCGCAGCAGAAGAATCTCTATTCCAGATATTAACGATGTCATTGGCTAGTGTGGCAAAATACTGATGAGGTTTTTCCATGTACGAATGTCAGCCTGAAGGTCTGGCAGGCGACTGTAGGAGTCGGGGCCCAGAGGGCGGCGCGTGAAGGGGTCGGAGGAGGACCCCAGCAGCAGCAGGCGGACCAGCGTCGACTCGTCTATCACCATCTTGGAGGTGTGCAGCAACACCGGCGCCTCCATCACCGCCTTCGTCACGCTGTCTTTGAACTCCTCCGGGGCCTCCTTTGACGATTCTTGACATGGTTCTGGCAAGGAACGGAAAAGGCGCAAATTTCCTGCCTGCTTGGTAAGATACTGTGCGTGCTCAAGTTTTAGAATATAAAAAAAATATGCAAATGTTTCCTGATTAGAAATGTTTTGGTACATATCATTTATGACAGCGATAAGATGCTTGATATAATATCCATTAGTATTTCGTGACAAGGGGTACATTTTAAGAATAAAAGCCGTGATATTAACCAGGATAGGTGCAGCGATCTGAGCCATGCCAGGAACCCCATAGGCCGAGGGAGTTGTAAACCCCAATATCCTATACACTTTAAACATTTGCTTAAGCAAAAATAATGTACACTGCTCGCTTTGCTTACTTGCTTCATATTCCGCTAAAACAATCTCCGTCCTTGTCTTCAAGAGGTCTAGTATATGGCTGAAAAAGAATGCTTCTGGTCCAACCTTAAGTTTCCGTACCTGGTCTACGGCATCAGCAGCAACAACATCCAGGTGTCCCCATTTATTAAGGCTCTTTAACACCATTTTAAGAGGAAACAGGAAATTTACCCGTGAGGCTGTAGATTTAAGATGCCCCAGATTAACATATGGACTAGTATACACCAACCCTGCAGCTGCTTGCAGGCCCGAGGGGGTATCTCGAAGGTACTCTTCTGGCCACAAGCCGATGAAGCGAAGCATTTCCAGACGCAGGTACGGGTTAGGACACAACTGAGGGTCGGTAAGCACCGCGAGGACCCAGGGCTTCAGGGCAGTAGACTCGAGACAGCCAAAGTTTATATCGTGCTCCATCCCCCAGCTTAATATTAGATCACCAATTTTCCAGATGACGCTCTCCCATTGTCCTGTTATCTTGAATGGCATTGTTTTCATGTGCAAAGAGAGAGTTATAATCCATAAAACCCCAAGCTGAGTTTTGACGCTTAATAAACTGATATTTTCAAGAGCATAAAGGTGCTGTTCTGACATCCTTATTGCTCGTAAAATTTGACTTGCAGAACTTCCTGCGGTGAGGCTCCTAATCTCTTTTATAATAAATGGAGGAATGTCAGGAAAATAATAATCTTGACATGCTGGAGAATCTTCTTCTGTGGTGTCCATTGTCTGAGAATGGAAAACTGAGGCAGACCAAGAATGATGTTGTAATGCAGAACCAAGAAGGTGAAGAGCTGAGTGATTGATTGATGAAGATTAAGTCACCCAAGATGTGGGACGAGCATGAATAGCATGTAGAGCGTGAGTGCTGTTATTGTTGCTATATTTAATTGTTCATGCTGTTCAGTTTTTATATGTAGTCGTCAAGCTAGGGTTAAGGTGGGGTGTAGACTTTCTTTCTTTCACTGTCTTTCACTGTCTCTTTGTATAGACAGTGAAAGTTCACTGTCTTCACCCCACCTCTACCCTATCTAAACCTTAGTTTAGATTTCGATAAGTTTAAATTTAGGAAAGACTTGTGAAAGTACTGGTTCGGTAACAGGGTTGTTGATTTGTGGAACAAATTACCGCTTAACATAATAGAAGTAGGATCCCTTGATTGTTTCAAACGAGGGTTGGACATGTATATGAATGGGATTAGGTGGATAAAAATAGGAGCTGCCTCGTGTGGGCCAATGGGCCTTCTACAATTACCTTTATTCTTATGTACATATGTTCCGCTTTTTAAGCTCATCCATCTAAGAACCTAAGAATGAAGGTAACTGCAGAAGGCCTATTGGCCCCACACGAGGCAGCTCCTATTTTTATCCATCTAATCCCACTCATATACATGTCCAATCCACGTTGACACAATCAAAGAATCCTATTACTATTATACCACTATCTCTTCGTCATTATCCGTTATCTGACCTGTCTCGGTTTTTAATGGACCTATCCTTTCCCTAACCTTTGTTCGATATAACTGAAAAAAAACTTTAAGAGTTGCCTTTACTGGCTTGTTATACGAACTTTAAAGTTTCTTCTTGCTCTCCTTATCTCTTAACATTTCTAACAAGTTCTGCGAATTAAGTCACCCAAACTTAATTGTTCTAAACTAACCACATTCCTAATCCTTTTGTACCAAGCTCTCCCATAGGTGCTTTGCTTCCATCCTGTTTAATTAAGTTTGGTGGCCTGCATATAACTCCTATTATAATATTATTTGCTCTTTCGTTTATTTCTATCCAAATAGTTTCCGTGTGTGGCTCAGTTTTGATTCCCTCTTTGAGACTACATTTCAAATTTTCCCTAACATATATAACTAGTCCCCCTCCTCGTCTAATATATCTGTGTGAAAAAGTTTTAATACATAAGAACACAAGAATAAAGGCAACTGCAGAAGACCAATTGGCCCATACGAGGCAGCTCCTATTTATAACCACCCAATCCCACTCATATACGTGTCCAACCCACGCTTGAAACAATCGAGAGACCCCACCTCCACCACGTTACGCGGTAATTGGTTCCTCAAATCAACAACCCTGTTACCGAACCAGTATTTACCCAAGTCTTTCCTAAATCTATCCACCCTACATCCATTGTTTCGTGCTCCGTCTCGCGTTGATACCCCAATTACCCTACCAATATCCCACTTGCTATGTCCGCTCATCCACCCGCAAACTTCTATCACGTCACCCCCCAACCCCCCACCCTTCCAGCGAATGCAACCCAAGCCCCGCCAATCTCTCCTCATATGAAAGATTTCATAAGAACATAAGAACATAAGAACAAAGGTAACTGCAGAAGGCCTATTGGCCCATACGAGGCAGCTCCTATTCTATTACCACCCAATCCCACTCATATACTTGTCCAACCCGTGCTTGAAACAATCGAGGGACCCCACAATGTTACGCGGCAATTGGTTCCACAAATCAACAACCCTGTTACTGAACCAGTATTTACCCAAGTCTTTCCTAAATCTAAACTTATCCAATTTATATCCATTGTTTCGTGTTCTGTCCTGTGTTGATACTTTTAATACCCTATTAATATCCCCCCGGTTATGTCCATTCATCCACTTGTAAACCTCTATCATGTCACCCCTAACTCTTCGCCTTTCCAGTGAATGCAACTTAAGCTTTGTTAATCTTTCTTCATATGAAAGATTTCTAATTTGGGGAATTAACTTAGTCATCCTACGCTGGACACGTTCAAGTGAATTTATATCCATTCTATAATATGGCGACCAAAACTAAACTGCATAATCTAAATGGGGCCTAACTAGAGCAAGATATAGCTTAAGAACCACACCAGGTGTCTTGTTACTAACGCTGCGATTAATAAATTCAAGTGTCCGATTCGCCTTATTACGAACATTCATGCATTGATCCTTTTGTTTTAAATTTTTACTAATCATAACTCCCAGATCCCTTTCGCAATTCGACTTCGCAATCTCAACACCATCTAACCAGTTGTTCGTACAACTGGTTAGAAATGTTAAAAAAGAGATAAGGAAAGCAAAAAGAAACTATGAAGTTCGCATAGCAGGGCAAGCAAAGACAAATCCTAAAGGGTTTTTTCAGTTATATCGTACTAAGACTAGGGAAAGGATAGGTCCATTAAAAACCGAGACAGGTCAAATAACAGATAGTGATGAAGAGACGAGTAGTATTTTTAATAAATATTTTGTATCTGTATTTACTAAAGAGGAACTTAACAATATGCCTTCAGCCGAACAAGTCTATGTGGGTGGGGACGAGGACAGGTTGACGAGTTTAACAGTTACCAGGGAGGATGTTCTTAAACAAATAGTAAAACTCAAACCAAACAAATCCCCAGGGCCGGATGAAGTGTTTGCCAGGGTGCTTAAAGAATGCAAAGAGGAGCTTTGTGACCCACTGTCAACCATATTTAATAAATCAATAGAGTCAGGCAGAGTGCCAGAGTTTTGGAAAGTTGCTAATGTGATAACAGTTTTTAAGAAAGGAGAGATATCACTTGCGTCTAACTATCGACCAATTAGCCTAACGTCTATTGTGGGAAAGTTACTCGAATCTATAATAGCAAATAAAATTCGTCTTCATCTTGAAAAACAAATTAATAATCGAGTCGCAACATGGTTTTATAAATGGCCGTTCATGTTTAACAAATTTGTTATCTTTTTATTCTAGCATTGTTGAGGCAGTTGATAGTGGAAAGGATTGCGATGTTGTGTACCTTGACTTTAGCAAAGCTTTTGATACAGTGCCACATGAAAGACTGATTAAAAAAATAGAGTCTCATGGTATTGGGGGTGCTATATTAAGCTGGATTAGGGCATGGCTATACCAAAGGAAACAGAGAGTTAGTATAAATGGAATCAAGTCAGAGTGGGAAAATGTTGTAAGTGGAGTGCCTCAAGGCTCTGTCCTGGGACCTCTGTTGTTTATAATATATATAAATGATTTAGATTCAGGTTTGAGTAGCAACATTTGCAAATTTGCCGATGATACGAAAATCGGTAGGGAAATTAATTCGGAGGAGGACTCACTATCACTTCATGTTGATCTAGATAGGGTTTT